GCTGAAGCTTGAGAACGGCGACTTCAAATCATGGGGGATGAACTGGAAAAAACAGCAGACGGGGATGTATACGGCATCAGATGGTTGGTACCCGAGCGGTCTCGATAAGATTTCATGGATCGGAGACGGGCGGGGTGTATCGGATTACCCTTTCAACGACGAGTTCGCACAGCTTCCTCTTGCGAATTTCGGGATCGATACAGGTGGAACCCAACTGAAGGCGAGGATGTGGTCGGCGATGGGACCGTACTACAGTGTGGCTGTCTTCACAGACAACACCATCAGGAAATGGGGGAATACAGACCTGCAAACTGCACATTCCGACATGGAAGGTTACACGCCAACCGGTGTAACGACAGTAAATATGGCTACATCGCTTGGAGCAGCGGAGTCTATTGTTGAGCTGTGCACTTCGTGGGATTTTTTCATCATACGCACGGACCTGAACAATGTGTTCCATTCGAGTGACCTGAACACACCAGTCAACCTCGGTACGACGAAAAAGGTCAAGCAGGTGGCGACGAATCCCTGGGGTTGGTATGTTCTATTCGAGGATGGCTCGATGAAAAGCGTTGGAGGAAATTACCTCGGTCTTCATGGGTACAGTGAGTTGGGCGTTGACACCACACCCTTCATCGGATTTGACGTCAACTCCGTCAAGGATGCCCCATTTGTCGACTTTGGTCAGGCCGTGAAAAAGCTCAAGTCATATGCGTCCAATGCCATGCATGTTTTCAGCGTGCTGGACGAAGGCGCCACCAGCAACATGGACGGACTCCGAGGTGCACCTCAGCTCCAGGCGAACGGGTATCGCCCACCGCAAATGGAACTCGGGAGTGCAAACGCCGCAGGGACCCCGCACATGTGTGCCATTATGGCAGACGACTCACTCAAGTGTTGGGGAAGCAACTGGGCCGGACAGCTGGGATATGAGGACTACAAAAACCGCGGTTACACACACCCCATCTCAGAGAACGCTCCCACCATGCAGAGCACACTCAAGACAATCCCCCCCGTGGATGTGGGTACCGGCCGCACTGTGCTGGATATGTGTATGGGGATGGCCAGCACATGTGTTGTTCTCGACAACTACAGGGTCAAGTGTTGGGGAACCAACGAGGCTGGCAACCTTGGTCAGTCAGACAGACTCCGCCGTGGCCATGAACCGGGTACGATGGGCGACAACCTACCCTTCATCGATCTCGGATATGGTGTGAAAGCCGTACAGGTGGAATGTTATCAGAACTCCGTTTGTGCAGTGACGACCGACGGTCGAATGAAGTGCTGGGGGCGCAACTGTGGCGATGATCAGGGGAAGAACGGGAAAGGCAGTGTGCTACCATACAACAACCGCGGCGGTGATGGGGGGACGGACTCGGCATCGTGCAAGGATAAGGGTGCGGATTGGTCCACAATGGGAGAATATCTCCCATACGTCAATGCAGATTGCGCGGACAAAGCGAATGCCGAGACACAGGTGACGTGGAGCGCCCTAACCCCCAATGCGTGCACCGGAGTGGGTTTGAAGATAGCGCCACAGGATCCACCCGCTCTATGTGGTTCGATACTGACCAACTTCATCAAGACAAGCGTGCAAATGCCGATAACGGAGGCGCAATTCACCCCCGCGATACGGGCCAAATTTATCACCACCGTCGCATACCTCGTAGGGGTGTCAGAGTACCAAGTCTTGATCACCAACATCACTGCAAGCTCGGGCAGCCGTCGTCTGCTAGCAGATTCGATCCAGGTGGATCTGACAATCGTCGCACGGGAGGGGGATACGCTACCCCCCGGCACCGACTTCACAACCGAGAAAATGAACGCATACACGCTTTCGACGGATTCTGGCCTACCCACGGCAACCGTCGGAGCCATGATAAGAGACGAGACCACAGTGGCCACCCCACCAGGAACAGCAAGCACCTCGGACAGTTCATACGCGCAAGCTGCAATCTCGCTGGAATTCGACGCCATTCAATTCATGGGATACACAACTTCCAAATATACCTATCGCATAGACAACATGATCCTTTTCAACTTCCTGGGTCTCAACAACAAGCAATTCGGGCGCATCAAGGCCAAAATAGCGGATGCAACGGGGTTCCTGGTGGCAAAGAATAACGGAGAGAACCATTTCACACTGACACCAGACTTTGGGCCAGACAATCTGTGCCCCGAGGTGGGGGACACGCTGGGACTCAATACGGGACACATGCAATGCTTCTGGCGGCGTGCCATCGTGAAGAATGTGGTACAACCCGTCGCAAGTGAATCGCTGTACTTTTACCGCGACAAGACTCCGTCGGAAACGGCCAACGCCAAGGCCTGGATTCGTGACACGGTTCTGGGTGGGGACAGTGTCTATAGCACTGCAACCGCATCCGCTCATTTTGACAATTCCTGCACACGAAGCGGTGACCCGCTCAGTGAGGCTCGATCATATGGATGCCTGTTCATCGACCCGGGATACCGCTGGTCCCGCCTCGGAAAAGCGGGGGGAGCAGCAACATCCAGTCCGTTTGCCATCAGTGACAAGACCATCATGGTTGCCATCATGACGATTGCCACCGAAGACGGCACCTCCCTCCGCCGACGGCTTCTCAGTACGGTCGACGGGGTGCAGCAGACCTTTGACCTGGACCACGAGGGTGTCGTAGATAAGACGACTCACCCTTCCCACACGGAATCCACTGCCACACAGGCGGAGACGACGGACAACACAGCAGAGAACACGGGCGTCGCACGTCGTTTGCTCCAGGAAGATGATGGCATTGAAACGGTTGCCAAAACGGCCGGTAACAGTGTACTCGAGGTCCAAATGCCGAATGTTAACGCGGCCATGAACATGGCTTACATCAGCGGCCACAAGAACCATCTGTGGCAGCAGGTACATATCACGGCAATGCGTCACAAGGACACCACATTGCAGACATTCGCAGTCAACACTAACAACGCAATGAGCAAAATGGCGGCCTTGATTGGCCCACTCGTGCGCAATATACACCCGGTGGGCTTCGAGGCGGATCCCATTAGGACACCCACAGCCCGCAGGTTGCTGCAGAACAACGACTTCACAGCCGTGGATGTTACTGCGATGCTGGAACTTTCGAATTCGTTTGGCGACATATTCACGACCGCGGTGCAATGTGTCATGACGAGACTTGCAACGCAAGCGACGGTGCTCACGGACGATGAGATCACAACGCTCACGTCAGCGTGTGCAGATAACAGACTTGCAACCACGACGCAGTTGTCAGCTACAGAGGTCAAGCTTTCAATCGCGCTGACATTGTCCACATGCGCGAGAGACATGATGCAAGTCAAACAGGCAGAGTGCAACGTGTTGCGAGGTGTCTTGGCGCTAATCCCAGGTATGCCGTGGGACGACTGGAACTACGTGATAACCCGCATACCAGCCATATACTTCGAGCTGGATTTGGATATACCATACACCGAAGTGGTTGCAAACAACTTGGTCAGCGACCACATGCGGTCCACCATTGCAGATGTGTTGTACCTCCAAGTCGACAGAGTGGTCGTGCAGTTCAAGGAGGCTACGTGGTCCGCGACGAATGCGCGTCGGCTTCTGCAGGCTCCAGTGGTTGGCACACGAGCAAGTGTGTGGGTTTACAAAGACTCTTGCGGGGACTACGCAGGTGAAGTTTTCAACGGCATGGATAGTATTGAAATGAGGCAACACTTTGGAAGTACGGGGGGGTGGTGGTCCAAGATAAACATGTATTTGGCCGCCACACCCGCGCTGCAGTTCAGGGCAACACAGAACCCAGGCCTCAAAACAATCGACATCCGAAGCCCACAGACACCAGCGGAGCTTCCATGGGTGGTGGTGCTCACAGCCACGATCGCACGGCCCGGCCTCACCAAACACGAGAAATCAAGCATATTCATGATGGCGCGAGACAGTATCTCGGAGCTGTTCACGCTGATGCCGGGTGTTATGTCTCTGAATGATATGCGAACCAACGCGTCTCATACTGCCATGGATATCGGTGTTCGATACTCCACGGAAAGTGGCGCTCGTACGGCCATGCAAATCATGCAATCAACACAACAGTCTATACATACGAAGATCATGGAACACATCCAACAGTCGACAGACAGTGTCGTGAGTGCTATCACAGCACCACAGGTAATAATCAATGTCTGGTCGGACATTATCGACGCACGTATAGGTAGCATGAACCCACTTAATCCCCATAACACCCCCGTGTTGACTCACAACGACAGTGTCGTGATCATAATTGTTCTGTCGATATGTATACCTATCATCCTCATCATTATATTCGTCGTCGTTTTCCGCATGCGAACTACCAAATCCAACACACCGACTGCTACAAAGATGTCTCTCATACAGACGTTGGCGCATAACATTACCAACTTCAACACACCGGCAGAACCTGTGTTTGACCACGTTAGAGATGGCGACAGTCTTCTGATGCTCATCCAGAAAACTAAGATTGATCCGGCGCTGAATGCCCGATATGGCAATATGCAACCCATTTAGAATTTAATCACGTGGAGCGATTACATCGAAAGAGGGTATAGAGAGATAGAGAGATAGAGAGCTTGTAAATCTATGTTTATTACACACATATACAAATGCGAGAATTGTTTCGTTGATTTCACGTAGCTTTGTAGTCAGCCAAAGTTGACAGATATGGCTCAAGTAGGCTACAGTAGGCTATGGCAGGCTATGGCAGGCTATGGCAGGCTATGGCAGGCTATGGCATAGGCCATGGCAGGCTACAGTAGGCTATGGCAGGCTATGGCATAGGCCATGGCAGGCTACAGTAGGCTATGGCAGGCTATGCACTATCACAGATGCTGCTCCTGTTAGCACTATCACAGATGCTGCTCTTGTTGCCACTATCACAGATGCCATATGTCTACAGCTAAACACTGGAAAGTAAAAAAGTAAAGCTCGGATGGGTCTGTAATTGCGCGCAAAAGAAGCGCACCCATCATTTGGAATTAAATGCCCCCGGAGTGGCTCGAACACTCGACATTTCCATTACAACTGGAACGCTCTTCCAACTGAGCTACAAGGGCAGATGTCTCGACAGACTTACAATAACGTGTGGGAACAAAACACTATAGTACTATACATCACTTCCTATATTAGCGATTTCAGGCGAAACACGGTTGTTGTTGGATTTTGTTTTTACTTATTCAAGTACATCCATTGCACCGCGACCCCGCGCCACGCACTATTAGGTATACATGCGCATTTCATCCTCCATCGTTTCATCCTCCATCGTTTCATCATCCGTCGTTTCATCCTCCGTCGTTTCATCATCCGTCGTTTCATCCTCTATTGTTTCATCCTCCATCGTTCCATCCTCTATTGTTTCATCCTCCATCGTTTCATCCTCCATCGTTTCATCATCCATCATTTTCCTCTTACGAGTTAGGGTTGCTACGTCTCTGAAATTAGGCGGAAGCGTCGCATAGGCCGCGTCCCGTGCAGCTCGTTGCGACTCGTTGATAATGGGGGCGCGTCTGGATCCTTGGTTCACGTTACATTTTGTCCCTAGACCACCGGTGATACACGCGACAGTGTTTCCCTTGGCGCTAGTGGTCCTTTTGACAACAGTGACATTCTTCATGATGGTTATCCCAAACATAAATGTCAGGTTTTTGCAACCCGTCCGCTCAATAAAAAGTTTGTCGCATTTTCTGAGTGGGAGTGTGCTTTTGCCGACACCTGATACCTTCCACAGTCTCTGAGATCCTACCTCTAAGAAGTCGAATAGCAGCTGAAACGCCGATTCAAACGTTGTAACGTCGGCGTAGTTGGAGAATGCCCGGATTGGGCAAAACACCAACTGTAGATCCTTGAATTCCTGGTCGGTATACTTGAAATCTTGATTGTCATCCCTACGTGTTAAAATGGGAGTGTTTGATTTGTTTCGCACTAGGAAACGGGTGAACTCTGCAGTAGAGTCCCCCATCGTAGCGTCACCACGTGACATGAGAGCGTACATCGCGGAGTTAGATTTCCCCTCCCAGAACGCCGTTCGGAGAGTCATCCCCCCCAAGGCTTCGTAGATGCCTTTGCCCACCACAGAGTCCGTGTCGCCGATTAGGTTGAGAATGAACTGGAACGCTGCGTCGTCGGATAACGACGCGGTGCCAATGTCTAAGCCATTGGATTTTATGAATTCGTTGGCTTTATCCATTTTCTTCTTGGTTTTTCCTGCTGCGCGTTTGATTTCCGAAGCTTTACTCTTCGCCTTATTCTCCGGTCGATCCCGTCTCATCTTTATATTCGCCTTGTATTCTGGTGTTGATCTCTTGAGCTTATCCGCTTCCTTCTGTGCGGGGTCGAGTACACGGACGGCATGAGCTTCGTTGGACTTCACACGCTGTTCTTCCATCTTTTTAACAAACATATGTTCTTCGTGCGTTCGCTCACGCTCAGATTTGCTCAAGATCTCGTCACGCTTATTGGTGACTTTCAGCGTGTTCTCCCGGACAGCCGATATATGACGATCCCTTTTATCAATAGATTTGAGATCTTCGGCGGTTCTCTCGTCTTCTGGTATTAGCATGACTAAACGAAGCTTTTCACAGTCGATGATGTATAGCCTTGCTTGACTGTGTGCACCGATGGTCTTGTCGCTTCCATCTGGGTTCTGCCCCGCTGCGTACTTCCAAGCGTGTGCTCTGACATTTCCCTCCAATTCCGGCTTCCATGTAGCAGGTGGTCCGCGTTTGGGTTCGAAATTCGACCAAACACCCGCGGTCCGTGCGGCCTTGACCGCGTCTTTCTTGTTTTGCATTTCTTCAATTTTACCCAGTGTGACGAGGTCTTCAGCCGTTCGCGCGTCTATCGGTACGAGTGAGAACACCCGAACAGTCTCTTTCTGGAGTATACCACGCCGCATGTTCCGGTGTGCGTCGCGCGTTTTCTCTCTTCCATCATGGTGCTTTCCTGCAATGTATCTCCACTCGTGTGATCTAACTTCTCCATCCAGCTCTGGCTTCCACGAGTCTGGGGGTGGTATTATTGGCAGCCCACCCATTTCGTACAATCGTGAAATTGAAAACCACCCACATCTCACAACAGGTAGGAGTACTCAAGTTTCTTTGTTTGCAAAAACCTCATACATACCAATTGGGCCACCGAGGCTTGCTAGAACTCGACCGGGCCTGTCCTTTAGGTCATTCAGCCATTACGAATAAATTCAAAAAATGTTTTGTGTGAGATTTCCACAATCGATTAATATAACTATGAGTTGTAAAATCTCTATAAAAACACACTAAAATCATTTTATGTTATATTTATATTTAACTTCTAAATTTTAGTCCCCATGAAAGTCTCGTGGGGCTTTGCCACGGAGAAGGCGAGCGCGATCATGTTCACAACGTGCGGTCACTGCCACAAGGAGGCTGCGGTCGGCACAACGCTGCTTCGATGTGCTCGCTGCCATGGCACCTACTACTGCAACACAACGTGAAAGAACCCCCATCCATGCGAGCGCTTTGCGTTTTCCCATCACAGCGCAGTCCGCTATGCGAGTGCTTTGCGTTTCCCCATCACAGCAGACTTTTTCCACGGAGACCGGTGACTGAGAAAAGACAAGTCAGTTCACAGCCATTCTACAATCAGTCCGCTATGCGAGCGCTTTGCGTTTCCCACCACAGCGCAGTCCGCTATGCGAGCGCTTTGCGTTTCCCACCACAGCCAGGTCCTCCAGTGCATCACCCTGCGCGCATTGTGTACTCAGCTTGTGTGTGTCTGTGGTCTGCAGGTGTCAGAAGGCACACCATGGACAGCACAAGACCATCTGCATGCACTACTCGCAGCAGTTCCAGCACTGCTTCAACTGCGACAGCACGATCAACGTGAAGTCGTGCCACACCTGCTACGCAAAATACGTGTGTGATCGCGATGACTGCAACATGAAACACGAGCAGACGAAGACGTGTGTCGCACCCGATAACATCACTGAGACATCAGTTATCGTCGACGTGACCAAAGGCGGAGACGGTATGCTGTCGATCGCATGCTTCGATGGTGCTGTGTACGCACCGACCATGAAGAACCTCATCATGATGCTGATGAGCATGGATGCTATTTCCATACTGTCAGACCGGGTCTTCCTTGTGTACTTCACGTTCGGAGGGTTGGTGCGGATGATGGAGCCTGGGATCGAGTGCACCGGTCCTATCCTAGGAGTCTCATTCGAGAACAAGAGCAAGTTAAGTGTCTGCGCAGATGGCATGTACAGGACACCCATTTCCAAGCTCAACATCACAGCGGGGGGTGGAGGGCCGTGGTTCAACATGGAAGACAGGCTGGCCTTGTTGAAGGAAGGGGTAAACCTCGTCAAAATGGCTCGGGTTGTCGTCCCACTTTCACACACCACACAGACCCCAACACCAGGGTCGAACGGATGAGGTGGACTTGTATGTGTGATTTATTAAAACATACGAAAACATCAAAATGTGACGACCTCTATTGTACACGTGTGCGAAAACATCAAAATGGCGATTGTAAACACAAAGTACGTGTGCTGCGAATGAAACACAAAGTACGTGTGTTGGTATTGTAAAAACACAAAGTACGTGTGTTGGTATTGTAAAAACACAAAGTACGTGTGTTGGGATTGTAAAAACACAAAGTACGTGTGTTGGGATTGTAAAAACACAAAGTACGTGTGTTGGGATTGTAAAAACACAACAGGAAAACTCGATAAAAAACGATCCTAGACTCCCTGTTCTCCACACACATACCGTGCAAAACCAACACCACGAAAATGTCCACCGACCCTATGAATACCACCCCCCAGCCCACCACCGAGGAGGTGGCCGCACCTATGACACCCGCACCCGATTCCGACGTTGAGTCTAATGACTTTTCTGTCTCGTCTGACGAAATGTCCGATTCGGATGGGGATGATGGTGCTGATGAGACGGCACCCCCCGTTGTGGCGGCCAAGGTGGTCAAGACCAAGACGAAGGGTGTTGCCAAGGCACCCCGCAAGGCTCCGAAGGAGAAGAAGGAGAAGAAGGAGAAGACTGTCAAGGTCAAGAAGCCGCGCACCATCCGCCGCCCGTACAAGTCAATGGACCAGGCCAAGCTTGTCACGAAACAGGCGATCGCAAGCGGGCGATTCGAGGTCGTGAGCAAGCGCATGATCTCCACGCAGAACCAGCTCGAACGCTTCAACTACGAGATCGCCGTCCGCAAAGGCGCACCCCAGGAGGAGAACAACGAGGAAGCCCCCGGCGTGGTGTGTGATGACGCATAAGTGATGTGATGTGCAGTGTGCGTGATGTCAATAAATGAGCATGCTTGCATGATGTGTCAATACATGAACGTGCATGTGTGTCAAGAGCATAAATATTAAACTACACGGAAAGCGGAAAACATTCAACACATATGAACCCACAAACAAATTAAAAAAATCGACCACACCTCCCTGTACGAACTAGATATACCCGGTCGACTAATCTTAATCCCCGAGCGGGTCGCACAACACCATTTCGAACCAATCGAACAAACCAACGGTGGAACTCAAGGCGATCGCAACGACTGTGTTGAAAGATTTCCAAGAAAAAGGACTGGTAGAACTGTTACCCACTGGGACATCGTTCCAATCACAACTGACACATATAGATCAAATCAAAACACGACAACTGTGTGACTACATAGAAGTGTGTGTTCTCAGACTGCATAGCGCCACACCGGAAGAAGAAGAATCGAAAGCAGCGCAGGTGGCCCAGGACCACCTCTGTATACTCAAAGCAATCTTATCAGTGTGAACAAACCTCCACGGAGGGACGCATGGGGATCTTTTGCTGGGATATAGAGACTACAGGCTTCAACCCGAAGAAAGAGCTAGTGACGGTAGCAGCATGCTACACACCAGAAAAGCAGACGGTGTACCTGTTTGCCGAATCGGATTCGGCAGGCAACGTGGTCAAAATCCACGACTTCGATGAAAAACGAGAAGCCTTCTTGAACGAACTGGACGACGCTCCGATACTCGCGGCATTCAACGGCACTGGGTTCGATATTCCTTTCATCGCGACGGCATTTCAAGTCGAACCGGACAGAGTCATGCGATGGATGATCAAGTCGTTCGACATATTCGAAGCAGCGAAACGCGCAGCAGGACGCACTTTTTCGTTGAATACACTGATAGGATTGAACGGGTTCAAAACTGCCAAGACGGGAAGCGGGGCAGACGCTGTTTTACAGGCGAAGGCGGGCAAATGGGCAGAGCTCGCGTCATACTGTGCCGAGGATGCGAGACTTACATATGAAATCTCCATCCGAAAAAGACTCGCGCTCCCAGAGGGCTTTGCTTGGCGCAAGAAACACAACGATCGCGACCACGACCCGGATAACATACTGTTCATGGTCGTTGGACCAAAGTACGAAATTAGTTTCGAAAAGGGCACACTGCACGCACCAAAAGCCGTCGACGATAACACAACCGAGGGAACCGGGGTGGGTCGTTGATGAAATCGAATTCAATACATCATTTCCAGAAATATACAATGTGCAACGTGGGTGTGGGGTGTGGGGTTACAGAGAGAGAGAGAGTGGTAATTCAGTGCCAAAAACCACAACGAGATCTAGACATGATGATCTTCAAACCATACATAGTAGTATAAAAGTAACAGGGGTGTACATCATACATACAGTCTGTCGTGAAATGAACACATACACTATACCTGCAACCACTTCGTGGGACCCTACCACTCGAACTGCAATCACGCAATGGCCTGTGACATTTAGTGAAAAGATGCACCGTAATGAAATGATGCACCGGGTTCATAAGATGTTTAGCATACTGAGCCAAATGCAAGAGGCGTTGCAGAATTACACCCCGGCCTTTGCACAATTCCATGCCACTCTTATGAACGAAGAATATGGAGCGGTCGATGAAGGACTGGAAGCACTGCGAAAATTCACCACTGCCTGTACGGGAAATTCATACCCCGGAAACGAGATGTACATGTTATATCCTACATGGTGCTCGATGCTGCACCGGTTCCAGTTTCACAACGGAAACCTATATCGAACCACATGCAAATCGTATGTGGAGGACCTGACGAACACGGATGTTTTCGGAATGTATATGAAAACTGCCCTGTTGGCAATGCCCACTGAGGAGATGCTGCGCGATGCATCCCACACGACGCGCGCATCTATATCCCGATATGAAAGCACACCCCACATCCAACACAACCTCCGGGAGGATGACAACAACCAACCCCCCCACATCCAACACAACCTCCGGGAGGATGACAACAACCAACCCCCCCACATCCAACACAACCACCGGGAGGAGGGCTACAACCACCCCCCCCACATCCAACACAACCACCAGGAGGAGGGCTACAACCAAAACCCCCACAACCACCGGGAGGAGGGCTACAACCAAAACCCCCACATCCAACACAACCACCGGGGGTTGAAATACGATCGAAACCCTGCACCGGATCCGCCGTAGCCAACGAAACGACGGGTGTAGGACATTTTGAGCGGTAGAACAGCTGCTGTGTCGTAGAAGCAGGCTATGCGGAGTCTGGAACACAAACACAATCTGTCATTTTGGCCCAGAGGTCTATCAATCACTGAATATTCATTATACTCAATAACGCCTCGACACAACCGCAGCAACAAATAAAAGAGATGCTAAACGTTTGTGTCCGCCGCGTTCCGCTAGAAATTCTGATGTATGTCCATCGGAATTTCTGGCATTCACATCAGCCCCTGCATTGATCAGATGCATCACAAATGCCAACTGGCTTGTCTCGAACGCAAACGCAAAGGCTTCCGCTTCCACACCTCGAACGTTCGACCACAGATCACAACACCGTACCGATATATGTAGTGGAGTGTCTCCCATTTAGAAAGTTCTTGAATGTCTGACCACAGATCACAACACCGCACCGACATTAAATATATGCAGTGGAAGTACCCCCGAATTCATATGAAAATTCGCGAATTACCCGTTTTTAATACAAGAATTCCAAACGCATTATACCTAAAAAGATTTCCAAACGCATTATACCCGTTTGCAAATAGAGGGAAAATGATGCAGGCCCCTTCCATAGCTCTACGATCCGAAAGTATTGGAACACCAGGAATTAATTAAAACGATAATTTATTATTTAAATAAGACGTTTAACCATCTCGCGCACAAAGACTAGAAGACTGTCTAGAATTTTCTAGAAGTTCTTTAGAAAGTTTTACCCAACCACACGAACGTTTTACCCAACCGACTTGTCAAGTTTCACCCAACCAACACTCCTATTCGAGATGCTCGCATTGGGTGTCCCCGCCCGAGTCCTGTTGATCGACGAATTTATATGGACGGTGCGATGGGAGGTGCAAATGCCTACAGCGGGAGCTGTGAGCAGCGTCACAATGTCACCGGATGGCAGGTTCGTGGCGTGTGTGAGGGAAGACGACGAGTTCTGGTGGCTCTGGCATGCCGAAGACCCTCGGGTGTGTGTGACGGCAAACATCCACGACGGATCGGGCGCGTGTGTCTGCAAAACAACCAGAAGCGGTCTCCGCACGTTCCAGGACAAAAAGTGCCCGGTTCGAGCGCACACCTCGGGGCTGTGTGTGGTGCGGTTCTCACCGTGCGGACAGAGGCTGGCCACAGGAGGATTGGACGGTTCGATGATCGTATGGGACGCAAAGACTGGGACGGCGGAACTGGTGATGCGGGCACACAGCCAGCGTGTCAGCGCCACAGCTTTCTCGACATGCGGGACGCTCATCGCGAGCGGGGGCTGGGACGGGCTCATTTGCGTGTGGGACGCAAAGACGGGGGGGATGCTCAAGATGCTGCTTCACGGGGGTCTATCTTCAGTGGACTCCGTGCAGTTTTCCCCGAAGAACAAGGGGGTTCTTGTCAGCGCTGGAGACACGACGATTGGCATCAAATGCTGGGACGTAAACAGTGGGCAGATGACCCAGACCGTCCAAGGGAGCCGGTTTGCGATCTATTCCCCAGACGGGTTGAGCATCGCAACCGTCGGAGGCCTCAATTCAACAGACTTGGTCTTGGCCGATGCAGAGACGGGAGCGGTGCAGTTCACGATGCCCGGGCATGCACAGAAGATCTTCCACGCATCCTTCTCCTCAGACGGAACCACGATCGTCTCGGGCGACATCGGTGGCGAGAACATGAAGTGGGACACTGCCACAGGAGGGCACCTTCAAACAATCGATCTGAGTGGCACAGCATTTTCGTGCGGGCGAGACTGGGTGGATGACAAGCGGAGGATGATAGCCTTTGCGATGGGACACCACGAGCGGCTCGGAGTGGGGTCGCAGCTGCTGGGGCTCGAAAAGGAGCTGCTGCGGATGATCCTCGAACTGGTGTGACTGCTGGGGCTCGAAAAGGAGCTGCTGTGGATGATCCTCGAACGGGTGTGACTGCTGGGGCTCGAAAAGGAGCTGCTGCGGATGATCCTCGAACAGGTGTGAGATGCGGTGCGCAGACAAGGCCGTAGATGCGCACAAATAGGTTGTAGTGCATGCCCTAGTGTGTGGTGGTGACGTGAGTAAATACAAAACACCAAAACAGAAAAATCAGAAGGCGGGTAGTAGAATTTCCCACAATCTCATCTCGGTGTCTGCAGCTGCAGGCAAAAAGGTATAAGACGTGCTCGGATCGGGCCGTAGATGCGCGCAAAAAGATGGTAGGCATTGACGGAAATGCTCCGCCTCTTTCAGTTCATAAGACTGACGTGCATCTTTCACACCCAACGCCCTGTTTATTCCGGGATTCGAACCCGGGACCGACTGCTCCTGGGAGGCGATCTATACCACTATGCCAAACACCCACAGAAGAGCAGTCGGTGGTAATATGCATTGACATGTTTGTATCTGTATGACGGATCTAGACCGAAAACACAAGCAAGATTGCGAACATTGCATATGTTCATATAAAAGAATCAATGCATACCTCGCACACACCAGAGTATGAACCCAGAGGATTTGAGGTTGTATAATGAGATCCAATCGATCACAGATGCAGTTATGGACCAATTCGTAGAACAAAGGCTGGGATTGTTCGGCTTCGGCAAGCCCAAAGCAAAATCGACAGTATCAGCATCAGCAAAAGCGACAGGAAAAGCAGACGCAGCAAAAGCACGCACAGACAAAGCACACGCAGCAAAAGAACACGCAGCGGAAAAAGCACACACATCAAAAGAACACGCAGACACAGCAAAAGCACACGCAGCGGAAAAAACACACGCAGCAAAAGCACACGCAGCGGAAAAAACACACGCAGCAAAAGAACACGCAGCAGCGAAAGCAGCTGCAGCAAAAGAACACGCAGCAGCAAAAGCACACGCAGCAAAAGAACACGCAGCAGCAAAAGCAGCTGCAGCAAAAGAACACGCCGCAGAAAAAGCAGCAGCAGCAAAAGAACACGCAGCCAAGGCACACGCAGCAAAGGCTGCTGCAGCAGCAGCAGCAGCAAAGGCACACACAGCAAAAGCAGCAAAAGAACATGCAGCAAAAGCAGAAGCAGCGAAAGCAAAAGCAGCAAAAGAACATGCAGCAAAAGCAGAAGCAGCGAAAGCAAAAGCAGCAAAAGAACATGCAGCAAAAGCAGAAGCAGCGAAAGCAAAAGCAGCAGAAGCAGAAGCAGCGAAAGCAGCAAGGACTGGAAAAGCACATGCAGCGAAAGCAACGATCACACACACACACCACGATGGGCGTGATATATCCAATGACAACAACTCGTTTGCACTCCTCGATCTGGATACCATACCAAAAGTACCAAACCCCTCGAAGGACAATCCATTTGTATGTATGAAGTATGTCAACGCAGTGATAGCGAACATGAGCGAGTTTCATAGTCAAGTAAGTGAAGAGGTCTCTCAGTATATTGCAGACAAAGACAATCCGAACTCCAAAGAATTAAAGTATTGGGTAGAGGAGTTGGACAAATTAGAGGTCGAAATCAATACGTCAATCACAGTACTGAATAAGTTACAAGGTCGTGTACAAGGAACGGCCATCAGCAAGTATATCAAAGCGATGGTACCGATCCGAAAAGACGATCAAGACATCAGAACGAAATTTCAGGATAGCATCAAAAGTAATACAGGCCCCAGTAAGGACATTATGAAAAAATGGGATCTCCGCATGGGGTTGCTGAAGAAACATATAGTAGAACTGAAGAATGTCATCGCCAAACTGGGGTCTCTAAGTCTCACAAACACAAAGAGCAAGTAGAATACACGATCTTGTAGATAACCGATCACATCGATCATATATATAAAAGAAACAGCTCTGTTCGTACGCACAAACGTATGAACTCGGAGCATTTGGAGGCGGACAATACGACGGAGATTCAGTTCATAACGGATGCTATTATGGAACACTTCGAGGAACAAACGTTGGGTGTTGCCGGGTCGAGTGGCATATCAATATTGGCGAAAGCAGCACAAGCAGCAACCAAGGTAAAGGATTCAGCAAAAGCGGCATTGGCGACCAGAGCAGCACAAGCAGCACAAGCAGCAAAAGCACAAGCAACAAAAGCAAAAGCAAAAGCAACCGCGGCAACAGCAGCAGCAGCAGCAGCAGCAGCATCAAAGGCAGCAAAGGCAACAGCAAGCAAGGCTGTAGGGGGCAAGAATTCTACCATCACACCGGGCATAAAGTATAAAGATGGAAGCAAGCATAAATCTATTTGGGGTGAAGCTATGTCAAGCAGGGAGTTTGACGTCGCATGCTCTATTCACCAAGAGTAGGTATCCCTTTCATAGATGGGAAGAGGCACACGGTATTAGGTGCAAGATCATTCGGGGCAAGATCAGCGGGGTATATACTTGTAGGAGTCGACTTAGTAAAATGACCTTTAATAATTAATAATAATCATCTCGATCCTCGGTACACTCCAAATCCAACGCTGCATTGTGGGCCTCGCATGCTTCCTCAAGCAGAGCCGTGTCTGCAAGATCGTGCTGTGCGGCCTCAATCGACAACTGCTCAGACTCAGTGCGGAGTGAGTCGTGATACCCAACAGCCATGCGAGTTGCAAGTTTCAGTTCAGCCGTGTCCTCGATACGTGTAAACAGACCAGGCCCAAACTCCAGCATGACACCGGCTACAATATTCACAGGTTTGACGACTCCGTTGCGATGAATCACAGTGTATGTAGTACCGTTGAGATGCGGCAGTGCCTTATCGAATAACTCATCGGGTGTGAACACCGAGCTCATGTACATAGGCAACCGCTTTCTTGATGGGCCAACACAGATAAACATGTACACGACACATGCACGACATAGGCAGTGCGTATGAACAAGCAGGAAGACATAGGCAAAAAAGAAGCAGAGGCGAACGGGTAACCTTCATAAACCCACTCACATACTACATTCGAGGGGCAAAATGCATTCATCAAATATACTTTACACCAAGTCCATCCTCTGCCGGGAGCAGAAAATTGCAAAGACTTTCCCGTTGAGTTTGTACTAAACCCCCAGAAAAACTACGTTGTACTACACGCGGAGGGTACCACTGGTCAAATTACACCAGTAGAAAAAATTATTATGATGGGGTGCCACTCGCCGATTACCCCATACAACTTGTAAAAATGCAGGGGATCTACGCAGAGGAACTTGCCATGCTCGACGGATACGAACCGGACATAACTAGAGAGTCCCCAACGTTATTGATCCCATGGGAGGGATGGACTGATACGGACCAACCAACTGCCGCATCCATGTGTACAGCGTATATACAGACAGGACACCTGGAGAATGATGCAGAATACACACAGACGATGTCACCGTCGTTCCTCGACGAAGCACCTCAAGAACTTCCCATCCTCGATACAGTGACACCGACAGTCTACACACAACCAGTTTCAATCCCTCCAGCCGATGCAGTGGTCGATCCAAAGATACAACCCCAACAGGAGCAGCAGGCAACCGACGGGGGCTACGAAACACCGGCTGCAGTAGAGGAACAGACTGCAACAGACGGGGGCTACGAAACACCGGCTGCAGTAGAGGAACAGACTGCAACAGACGGGGGCTACGAAACACCGGCTGCAGTAGAGGAACAGACGGCAACTGACTGGGGCTACGAAATACCGGCAGCAGTAGTCGACGAACCAACCCGCCTCAACAAAAGAGGACTCCCCATGCGCCATTCTGCGATGCAAGTTGAAGAGCGCGTCAAAAGCATCGCCAGATGGGAAAATGCCACGGAAGACTCTGTCGTGGTGCGCGAAATCGCGAGCGCCATCGACCAAGAGATCACCCGTGAATCTTCACGCAAACGCATCCGACTCATCAGGGCAGAAGCAGATCCCGTCGCATACGACAGTGAGATGTCAGACGGGGCTGACGGAAATTCAGAGTGTGAACAAGACAGCGAACCGGACACGGAAGAACCCGACACCGACTTCGTGGTTGCAGACGAAGACGAGAACGACGAACACGGGGAAGATGTCATAGATGACGACGTTTCCGAGCATGAAGACTCCGAGGATGAAGAGGATTCTTCTGAAGACGATCTTACAATGGACGAGGAATCTGAGGCAGAAACCGAGACGGATGGGTTGATGTCAGATAGTGAGGTGTGAGAACGGTTGCTGTCAACCACAGCGGAGATACGCCCATACGCAAGTAGAGACGTTTGAAAATAGTTTGTTGTCAAACGAGGACTTTTGACAACATCAGGTTGGTCAAACGATGACGTTTGACAACATTAGGTCGGTCAATCGATGACTTTTGACAACATTAGGTTGGGCAAACGACGACTTTTGACAACATTAGATGGGCAAACGATGACTTTTGACAACATTAGGTTGGGCAAA